AATCTCGGCTGGATTATTTCATCAGACGCGAGCTAATCTGGAGTTTTGTTGTTGGGGCTCAAACGCGTTTCCTGTCTGCTGTCGAACATCACAACGACAACATTTTACTGACGTTTTATAAACAAAGCCGGCAGGATTGCTTTGATCTTATTGGCTGACAGACTTCCTGTTTCTATTTGATGTTTATTTGTCTCTGTTTGAAAATCTTTCTCTTTAATCTGAGCTTGTTGTCATAAACAGATTATTCACGTGTTTCTTTATCGCTAATTGAATTAAATGATAAACATTTTGTTTTTTAACCATATTAATAATGTAAATGAATGAATGAATTATGTTTTCATCTAAGTTGTGTGAAATCTGCTGGGTGTGTTTCAGTCTAAAGGAGGTGATGGGACAGCTGCAGCTCACACACACACACACACACACACACACACACACACACACACGTTGTTTTAATTAATAGCAAATAAAATAAAACTGAAGAAATCATTCCAGAGATAAGAGATGAATGTTTAGAAATATTTATGATAAATCATCCTCCAACTGTCACAGGCGCGCACGCGCACACACACAGTGCTGCAGAGCTCTCGCCCGCGCCCCCTAGCAGGAGCAGAGTGAGGGACAGTCGGTGTGTGTGCGTGAGCGCGTGCATGAACCTCTGGTCCAGCAGGTCATTAACGCGCCGAAAGGAAACGATCATCTGAGTAGGGCGCGTGTAGCCCTCTGTGCGCGTGCACGCGGCTATATCTCACATTCCAGCATCCTTGTGGAGAAGAGCTGCTCTGAGTCGTTTGGAAGATCCAGAACTCAGGCCCAGTTCCGGGTTCTGGATGAGAACCAGGTCGTTAACTCTACGGGTCCAAATCAGGAGAACCAGAGGCTCGGCACGCACGCGCACACCCTTTTGGTGACGCTTCAGAGGGCAGCCTGGGCCCAGTTCGGACGGATTCAGTCCCTTGGTACGTAGACCTTAATAAAAGTAGTGTGCGTGCGTGCGTGTGTGCGCGCGCGTGTGTGTTTTAAATGAGACGACCCGGTCCGCTTTCTGCGAACGGGTCAGCGGGTCTTCAGCCTCCACCGGGTGGTTGCAGGTTCGGTTTCCGCCGAACCGCACGGCTCGTTTGGTGCCCGAGCTCATTCTGAAACTTCGTGCACTGCTCTGTGAGTGTGTGCGTGCGTGCACGAGGCCGCAGAGGTCAACGTGTGACCTGCAGCTTCTCACAAGTTTTAAAATAATCTGAGAGGACAAGAGGAGCAGCTCCTCCTGCTCCTCCTCCGTCGGTGCTCCCTTCTCCTCACGGTTCGGCTCGAACTCCCAGCAGCTGCGGTCGGAACCACCATCACCGAACTCATCCGGCAGAAATCAGATCAACAGAAATAAATAAAAGTTTGTTGGAAAAAGTAAAAAAAAATCTACATTTATAAAAAAGTTTGAATTTAAAATTTAAAATTTTATCAGATTTTTGATTCAGAAATTAAATAAATTCCGTTTTTATTCAGTCGAAATTGGGGAAATGAAATCTTTCCTCCGCGCTGCTTTAGTGATCCGAACTGTTATCAGAACCGAGCCAGAGCCGGACGGGACGGAATGAGTGAGTGAATCAGCTGTTTGTTTTGTTTAAATGACTTTAGTAAAATTATAGATCCAGAGGGTCGCTTTGCGGCGGAACCAGAACCAAAAACACTTTCAGAGGCGCCCTTTGGACCTGGACTCAACCCGACCCGGGTCGGATTCGGATGAGAGGAAGGAGGCCCTGAGGACCCAGACCTCCCAGCTTCTCGCTCCCATTATTAGTAAAACCTAAAGAGGGTGCGTGAAGGGTGAGGAGTGCTCGTGCGGGTCTACTCACGCGGTGTTTCTCTCTGGGACAGGTGCTGCGGGTTCCCCTGCTTGCGTCGGGACATCGCCCTGGCGTTTACATCGCCCGGAGAGCTGCGCTGGAAAGATCGACTCTCCTCCTCTTCCTCCGCTTTCTCCTTCTCCTGCCGCGGCCGCTGCTCCTCTCGAACCCGGCCAAGCTGGACCCAAAACTCGCCGGTCAGCCCGAACTGACCACTGAGCACCGACCCGAAACGCGGTCCCTCCGCGGCGGTTCTGCGCTCGGCGGGCAGCGGCGGCTGCGCTGTGCAGTGAGCGGCCGTGGCGCAGCGCGGTGCGCCGGGGCGCTCTCTCGGAGCTCAGTGCCGACGTCCTTGTGGAGGAAGAGGAGGGGGAGTCCGCCTTCACACCATCCCAGAAGCGCGCGGAGCGGAACGGATGCGGGGCGGCTCTCCTGCCGGTGGTCAGTCTGAGTCCGGGTCCACTGTCCGGACTCCTGGACCCGGTCCGGTCCTGCGTGAAGTGAGCAGGTGACCGCGCGTCAGCCGGCAGGTGAGCAGCAGGAGTCCAGGTTTGTTTTCGGCACTCTGCGCAGCGGCGGTCCGAGCTGCGCCCGGTTCGGCCTGTCAGACTTTAACTCTTGCAGTCAGAGCCCGGACTGGTCTGAGGACGGTCTGTCACCCTCTCCTCTCTTTGTGCTGCTGGCTGCGAGTCCCGCGTCCCCCACGCGCACGCGGTTCTGAGCGGCTCTCTGGCTGATGGGAGAAAACTCAAGTTCAAGTGCGGACGTGACGTTCAGTCTGCGGTGCGAAGGGAGAGTGGAGACTGAAGAGCACTGGGGGCGACTAGTGGTAGCTTACACACACACACACACACACACTCACACACACACACACTCACACACAAACTCGGGCATGTGGCGCGCGCATGGCAGCAGTGGTCAGAGTCGCTCAAGTCATCTCTGGCGCGGAAGCGTCGCTGTTGGAGCGGGATTTGGTTCTGTTGGAGAAGTGGCCTGATGCGCGTGCACAGCCCCTCACGGGGCCGGACGGACACTGTGCACGCGCTGTGACCGTACATGTATCCTCACCTGTCACGATCAGACTTCTCTGATAGGAACTTTCACCTTTTGGTTTGGCGCGCATTGAAACATCAAAGAGCTAAAAGATAAATAACCTTTAATCTCTAAACTTAATATTTCATCATCAATTAATCCCGTTTTTAATCCCGCCAACCGTGCATGGCCTGGCACCGCGAGCTCCTATCGATCACATAATGTAGATTCACCGCGTTCCGGTTCAGCTGAATTATGATAATAATAATAATAATAATAATAATAATAATAATAATAATAATAATAATAATAATAATAAACCTTATTTATATTATTATTATTATTATTATTATTATTATTATTGTGTGATTTAATCGTTTTTTTATCTCGCGGCAAAATCAGCTGAGCTGCACGCGCTCAACTTTTGTTTTAGCTATAAAAACCAAATTATTGTGTGTGTGTGTGTGTGTGTGTGTGTGTGTGTGTGTGTGTGTGTGTGTGTGTGTGTGTGTGTGTGTGTGTGTGTGTGTGTGTGTGTGTGTGTGTGTGTGTGTTCTCACTCACCTCCTCACACTGGGTCATGGGTCAGAACTTTCAGACTTTGTGCGTAAAGGCGCACCTGGTTGGTCTCTGGGCGGAACCGGACCCCAGCAGGTTCTTGGGGAGGTTCTGACCCCATCCATCCCTCCTTACATCCAGCAGAACCCGCGTGCTGGTCCCGATCGGGTTCGAGCCTCTCCTCCTTTACTGAAACCCAGACTGGGTCGCGTTTCGTCTCCAGCGCGTCTGACTCCATCGGCTCATAAACATGATTTATTTTTAATTTGGGGGAATGAGGCGGTTCCGGTTCGTCGTCGTACCGAACAGAACCGAGCAGGCAGCACCACGTGGCCGCAGAGAGGTGTTTTATATGAAGCTACGGAAACCCTCGTTTATCGGTTCTGATTTGATCATCTTGGACTTTTGGACTCGTTTGTTTAGATGAAGCCGAACCTTCCTTCAGAACCAGCAGTGGGTCAAGTCTGGGGTCACTCTGCGGGCCAACTTCCGGCTGTGGCGCGTGTCCTTGCGGCCTGATTGGCTCATTAGTCAGAAGGGCGACAGGTTATTGGACGTTTCCTCGGCTGAAGGCCATCATCGTGAGTTATGGCCTCCTGCTTCCGCCCTCCTTCATTTGCATATAAGCACGCGCCTGTTTGTTTTATGTTAATGCTAAATAACCCTTTCTCTTTTTTATTCTCCACCTCCCTCGCGTCGGCTGGTGGTTAAATTTTAATTATCGGGACGTGGAGGTGTCCTCTGAGTTTTAGGATCACTTTGTGCACAACTGTTCACTAATATTGATGTTTATGCGCACACAGGCTGGCAGATTACAGCGGACGCGAGGAACAAATGCGCACTTTAAGAGGGCTGTGAGCGGAATTCTTGATGCTTTCTTTATTCTTTATTCTGTCTTTTTCAGCCAGTCAGGAGCTTTGATGTCAGCGCGGGAAAGCACTCGGGGTTTTTAGAGCAGCAGCATGCGTGAAGCTGCGTTTTCAGCTTCAGTCTCTTTAAAAACGAACGAACCTTTCTACTTGTGCAGAAGAAGGAAAACGACTTTAATCTGAGATTTTTAACAGGATTATTTAAAATCCATCCTCTAAATAATCTGAGCTAAGGTCCCAGAGACTCAGAGCAGCGATGCAACAGCGCCCTCTGCTGGTCATCTGCTGCCACGTCCACACCCAGCTCCGGAACCGGAACCAGAACCAGAACCAGAACCAGTGATTCGTTGGTCCAGCTGAACCTCACCAGGACTTGTCGGTCTCCACGGTTGTGGAGGAGAACCATCTGGACCAGGAATGGGAAAAGGTGCCTTCCTAACCCCCCAAGGCTCTTCACAACACAGCCAGTCATCCACCCGTCCTGGTGGTGATGAGCTACGATGTAGCCACAGCTGCCCTGGGTGAGGCTGCTAAGACTCTTGCTCAAGGACACAACAGCTGCTGTTGTCGGAGCTGGGATTGAACCTACAACCTTCAGATACCCTCCTGAGCTACTGGATCCTCAGAAAGTTCTGCTTCTGACCCGTTCCTTTTGGAGAACACCAGAGAGCTGGTTCTGTTTTCAGGAAGACAAAACGAG